CACAGGAGAACAGAGCTGGAAAGCAGGTTAGTGGGGTGGGCAAGGAATGGAGATTTTACAGTAACCTTTCCCTGCCATGCCCACCAAGCCACGCCCACAGGACCGGTAGTAAAAAAAAACTTGAATCCCACCACTGGATGGTATCGCCTGCAGTTGCCAAATGGGAAAAGAAAGAAACTCAGAAAGGAAGCTTCCCAACTTTTCAGACTATAAGAAAGACAGTGGGAGATTTGTACTTTCAGACTTGCAAAAAATTCTTTTAATATAGCCATATAATGTAGTAGAATTGGCTTATGAACTACATGGGAAGGCTGACACATCGGCCTTGTTGCTTCTAGGGCAAACTTCAAGACAGGAAATGCCTGAAACTGCAGGTCTCCACCTGCTGGGTTACAAGTCCCCTTAAACTCAGTTTGGTTCGTTTTTGAATTGGCTGGCGTTGAGCTGCATAATTAAATATGTTGGTTTGCTGTGGCACAAAGAGGAGGAGATCCCACAAGGAATACAAACTGATCTGCTGGTTAGGAAACATTGAAGGAAGCGATCCAACAGGTGCTGTAAACTTTCTGGTATTAATTGCTGGTTGGGTTAAGTCAGCCTGAGGCTAGCCTCACCAGTGGAATATGCTGTCCTTCCATATTTTTCTTTTAACTTACTTTTAATACTGGCACCAAAAGGAGCCACCCAGGATAATCCTACAGGGTGTGTGAAGTGTGAGCTTTTTGTGTGAGGCTTGAGAAAGCCACTTAGCCAAAACATCAATGGAGGTGGCAGTGTGTTAGAAAGATTAGATTCGTGCCTGGGTATCAGCCTTCGAGGAAGGCAGGTCAGGGAACAGATGCCGCCAGAAATAATGATATAGATCCGTGATGGCTTAGCTCAACTGTTCTGTACTAAAGCTGCTTGCTGCTGTGAAATTAAAACTGAAACTCCTCTCCTCTGCTTGCGTTTTGCATTTGGAGCAGATTTCTTTTCAGGTGGGGAGGGGGAATAGAACTCCTTAGCATCAGAGCGTGTTAATAATAATATAGGAAATGTTAATGCTCTGATGGTCATTTTGAAAAATCCTTTCTTAGTCAGCATCTAGAAGCCAAGAGGAACATACGTGCCAAATTTCAAGTTCGTAGGCTTTACGGTTCTGGAGATTTTGTGATGATGTGTGAGGGGTATTTTGCTTTTATATATATAGATTCCTTCCTCCTTCTATTTTTCCCAAATCAACGCTGTGAGGTTGACTGGGCTGGGAGAGAAGACTGGCCCAAAGTCACCCAACCAGCTTTCACGCTTAAGGTGCAAACAGAACTCACAGCCTCGTGATTTCTAAGCCAGCATCTTGATTGCTACACCAAGCTGACTTTCTTCTTCCTAATCATCTCAATCTTTTCAATCTTCTTGAACTTTTCCTTTGATACTGTTCCATTTTTTTAAACTTATCTATTTTGGTACTTTATTTTTATTAGTCCATGATTATAATTAAAAAAAAACCTGTTTATGGAAACACCTCATATATCTTCTTGGCTTGCTATAGAAAGCTTGCAGGGAGAATCTGTTTCCAGAATTTTCAGAAAGGTAAAAATATCCCTCTCGGTCTCTTTCCCCCTTTCAAATTGGTGCTAAAAGATCAATTCATTTGAACTCAACTGCTGGCAGCTTCACCGATGCATCCTCCCAGGTGTTCTTGAGAGCAGCATAAAAGAGGATTGGCATCTGTTTTTATTTTAAAATAAGTTAGAGACTAATTTCTAATTTCCTGCCATCATTAGAATGTATTTTTGTCGGGGCAGTATTGTGTAGCCCGTTGTGAGCACATTCCAGGGATAAGGGACTTGCATTGTACAAAACTTTTTTGTCTTCAGAGCAGTTCTCTTTTACATTAGTGTACGTTGTGTGTGTGAGAGAGAAAAAAATTAACAGATCTGCAAAAATAATAAGCTTTTTTTCTGCTGTCTACAATTGCTTCTCGTCCATTTTCTACAACCTGTTGTGCTCTGGATGTGCTGGACTTCAGCCCCATCCAGGGCATTGGGAAAGCTGACCAAGCACATTGTAAAAGATTAATAGACCATATAGGTAACAAGGTGTAATCCTAGTTGCTGGAGATAGATGCTAGTCCTCATCATTTAGCTCTCTGTCAGTGTGGATGGAGGATTACAGGATTTAGAGTTAGGCACATCTGGAGAGATCTGGATTAAGAAAGGCTATTTTGGTAGAAGAATGAAGGTCAGGTTAAGGACTAGTAGGAAACACTGAGCATTTCCCCATCTGGAGACCACCGGAAGTGAGCCAGTTTGGTGTAGTGGTTAAGGCACCAGGCTAGAAATTGGGAGACTGTGAGTTCAAATCCTGCCTTAGCCATGAAAACTGGCTGAGTGACTCTGGGTCAGACACATTTGCAGCCTTGAGTTAAGACAGAGTCATTGTGTACCTGTGTCCAGGTAAAATCATCTTGGTGGCATCGACTCCAAAATACATTTCATTGGTTTACACAGGATTTATTCTCAAATGACTGTTTTGGGGGCAGATAGCCCAGCCAATTTCCAACCAAGATCTGGGTCTTTATGACACGCTGAGCCTTCAATCAAGAGAGTGTTCACATAGCATACAGGCAAATCAGTGGCTTAAGAGGATGATCTGATTCCCACAGTTTGCTGAGATGTTGGCTGGCTTCCCGTACCACAACCAACCCTTCCCATTTTAATCTTCTCCAGTGTATTGTGTGAACCCAGTCGTATTGTGCCATAATATCAAAGGAGTTTTTACATCAGCAGGGTGAAGTTTCTATTTTTCTGCCAACGGTTGTATTGCTTAAAGGGTGTGGCAGGCTGAGACTTGACAGATGAAGCAGAGCCAAAATCATCTCCTATTAGCACCATTTCTTTTCTTTAATTTATTTTTAACACTTTTCTCTCTCTTCCTTCCGAGCTGTAAGTCCCCAGGGGAAACTCTTCCGAGGAATCTGACCTGATCTGTTTGCAAAATAGTTTTGAAATTAGTTCAAAAATTGCTTCATGTTAAGGCAAGAGGCATACGTACCCAAATTTAGCAGGATATGATAATAGCCATCAACGGCCACATAGAGATAAACAACATCTACATACCACTCAAAAGAGGCAACCAAAAAGCCCAACGGGAAACAAAAAGTCCAAAATAGGTATCTTCAGCAGCAATCAATAGCAATAGCACTTAGACTTTATAGTGCTTTACAGCCCTCTCTAAGTGATTTACAGAGTCAGCCTCTTGTCCCCAACAATTTGAGTCCTCATTTTACCCACCTTGGAAGGATGGAAGGCTGAGTCAACCTTGAGCCAGTGGGATTTGAACTGCCAAATTGTAGGCAGCTGGCTGCAGCAGAAGTAGCTTGCGGTACTGCCCTCTAACCACTGGGCCACAGAGGCTCCATATGAGCAGAGACCAATATTAATACTAGATCAACATAGAAATAAACTATACCACAATCTAGAAACTACCAACTTAGACAAGCATGCTAAGAGTAAACAACAACTAATCAATGAACCACCAAGGATATTCCCACCGACACTGACAGGGTAAGCCATTAGTATATACAACATCACTTGCGTCAGGGGCGCCTGTGGTGGCCCACGCATTCCGCCAGTGAACAAACTCCGTTTTCTCTGGCAGAGTCACCGCGGGCTGGTCCTTCGCAATTTCCAGGGCTCTCAGCCTTGAGTTTGACCCCCCAGTCATAGAACAATTGTTAAGTGAGCTTTGTCCCATTTTACGACCTTTCTTATCGTACTTGTTAAGTGAATTGTTGCAGTTAAGGTAGTGACATGGTTATTAAGTGAATCTGGCTTCCTTGCTTGCCAGAAGATCACAAAAGGGGATCACATGATCCCAGGACAGTGCATCCATCACGAAGCAATTGCCAAGCATCGAAATTCTGATCATGAAAATACTACAAGAGTTGTAAGGGTGAAAAATGGCCACAGGTCACTTTTTTTTCAGTGCTATTGTAACTTTGAATGATCCCTACCTAAATAGAACATAGAATAATAAGAGTTGAAAGGGACCTTAGAGGCCTCCTAGTCTAACCCCCTGCTTCAGCAGGAGACCAGGGGTGGGCTGCTAGCGGTTCGCCCCGGTTCGAGCAAACCAGTAGTTCCGGCGATCAGTTGGCTCCGCCCACCCGCCCCTGCTCTAGTCCAGGGGTCTCCAACCTTGGCAACTTGAAGACTTGTGGACTTCAACTTTGCTGGCTGAGGAACTCTGGGAGTTGAAGTCCCAAAGTCTTCAAGTTGCCAAGGTTGGGGGCCCCTGCTCTAGTGTGTCCTATATTTCTGAGTTTTGCAGCTCAGCTGATTCGTGCGGCACAGTGGATTGCCGCACAAACCAGCTGTTGTACTCACTGGGGCTGCAACGGAAGGTGAGTTTTAGAGCTGAAAATAGGCAGTTTTCAATATCACACCGGTTGAATCACATCACTGCAGGAGACCTTATACCGGTGATAGCAAACCTATGGCACATGGGCCAGAAGTGGCACGCAGAGCCTTTCTGCCGGCACACGAGCCATCGTCCTGAACTGATCCACTGTGCATATGTGCACGCCTCCCGCCAGCCAACTGATTGTCGGGTATCTGCCGCGCATGCATGTACAGGGGTGGGGGCACGGGGGGTTGCACACGCATGCGCAGAGGCATGCGGTGTGCACACATGCATGCACAAGGGGTGGGGGGGGTCACGTGCGCATTGCATTATGGGTGCAAGCACACTTGCGTGCGCACTTTCGGCATGCGACGACGAAAAAGTGAATGGCTGTCCCATCTCTTCTTGAAAGCCTCCAGTGATGGAGCACCTATTTCTGAGGACTACCTGCACTAAAGGAACAAACGTTGCATGCATTTCCACACAAATCGAGGTCGGCTATCTCTGGCTAGTGAGAAAATTCCGGAGCTCCTTTACAACAGTCCCGTCCTTCCAAAAAGTCGTTCCAAGTGGTCTTGATGATGATAATAATTAAAAAGGTTCTTTTCATTTTATAGAACTCCCGGAGAACTGGACGGACACCCGAGAGACCTTGCTGGAGGGAATGCTCTTCAACCTGAAATACCTGGGCATGACATTGGTTGAGCAGCCCAAAGGAGAAGAATTATCCGCTACGGCTGTCAAAAGGATTGTGGCAACGGTGAGGGACCAAGAGCCGGTTTCCATTCACACCTTCCCTGTCTCCTATTGTACCTAAACAGGTGTTTCTCAACCATGGCAACTTTAAGAGTGGTGGGATTCAAATTTTTTTACTACCGGTTCTGTAGGCGTGGCTTAGTGGGCATGACTTGTTGGGTGTGGCAGGGGAAGGTTATTGTAAAATCCCCATTCCCTCCCCACCCCACTAACCTGCTTTCCAGCTCCTTTCTCCTGTGCAGGGCAACAAAAGGAGACCCAGCCAATCAGCTGGGACTCAATGGGAGGCAGAGAATAGATGGGGGCGGGGCCAGTCAGAGGTGGGATTGGCTGGTTCTCCGAACTACTCAAAATTTCCACTAGAAAAAAACTTCTGAACTAGTCAGAACCTGCTGAATACCACCTCTGGGGTGGACTGGCTGGGGAATTCTGGGAGTTGAAGTCCACCCATCTTAAAGTTTCCAAGATTGAGAAAAATGCTTCCCTAAGCAATCCAGGTCGGCGACCCACTGTTGCGAACAGGGCAATAAGAATAATATATTTCCACAGCTCTCCATATTTAACACTGGCTGGATGTGAGAGATGGTCCCGAAAACATGGGTGATAAGGGGGTTTTCAGTCTGCTTAAGATCTATAATTTAAAACCAATTAGCATTTTTATCACTTGCTTTAAAACGTTTTTCGTCCCTCTCCGTTGTTCTTTCTTTATGGACTTCATACATTTTTTATGTGTCTGCCCGTGACTACATTAATCCGCCCATGGAGGAAGAATTTATTTTCTAATTTCTTCTGGTTAACCTAGACACCCAATAATGCCTATTTGGGCAATCAATGCACAAAAAAAATCCTGGGTTTGTTGTATACATGTGCCCATTAATCCTCGACTTGCAACCACAATTGAGCTCAAAATGTCTTTTTTATATATAAAAAGTTTTTTTTTATTTTTAACAACAAACATAGACAAATACAAGCATAAAACAATGAAATAAAACCATCTTTCAATTATACAGTGTACAATATGTGTAGTCTTTTCCTCTTAAATTTAAATTTACCTTCATATTACATTAATCAACTTTCCATGTCATGTTATATTATTATTACACCATCATTAGACCTTAGTTTCAAGTGCACATTATCCTTTAGAGCAAATGTCATGCCCCTGGTGGAGACTGACTCTGAGGGAGAGGAGGAACAGACGACAGGGAATGGGAGTGTGGCTCCAGAGGTTGTGGAGGAGGCTGGGGAAGGGCAGAGGCCGGCTGAGCAGTCAGAGGAGGACCCAGGCCCACCCCCTCTCCATCCTAGGGCACGCAGGGAGGAGAGGATAAGGGAGAAACGTGGTCTACTTGTGGGGGAGAGGGCCTTGATCCTCTTCATGGGCTGCAGCTGTGACAACTGAGTAAGAGGAAGGACCTGCATACGAGTGAACGCTGGAAACAAAGCGTGGAAATATCTCTAGTTTATAGTTCCTCTCCGAGTTTGGCATCCTTCCCACTGTGTGTTATCTGTGGACGTCCTCCAGCCCTTATCTTGCCTGGTTTGTGTTGCTTTTTTCCTCCTTCTTGTAACTGTTTGGGAGTTTTTTTGTCTTCCATCAAAGATATTCGGAGCTTGGAAGCAAAGTGAAGGAATAAAAGGGGTTCGCCTGTTTTCTGTGACTGTGTTTGTTTTGTATCCCACCCTGGGTCATCACAGCAAATCTCAGTTCTTACTAATTTTAATTCATATTAAAAGCCATTCAATAATAATCAATCATAACATTATCATTGCTGTTTAAATGTCTTTTCCTAAGTGAGACAGTTGTTAAGTGAGTTTTGCCCCATTTTATGACCTTTCTTGCCACCATTGTTAAGTGAATCACTGCAGTTGATAAATTAGTAACCCGGTTGTTAAGTGAGTCTAGCTCCCCCATTGTCTTCACTTGTCAGAAGGCTGCAGAAGGGGAAATCTCGCGACCCAGGGACACTGCAACCCTCATAAGTATCAGCCAGGAGCCTGAATTTTGATCATGTGACCATAGGGATGCTGCCATGGTCATAAGTGTGAAAAATAGTTGTGTCCCTTTTTCAGTGCCTTTGTAACTTTGCACAGTCCCTAAAGGAACTGTTGTAAATCGAGGACCACCTGTATTTGTGTTGGTACAGGTAGTCCTTGACTTAACAACCATTCGTTTTGCAGCTTGTTCGTCCTATGGTCAAAATTCAGGCACTTGGCTCATATTTATAACGGTTGCAGAGATTTCCCCTTTTGCAATGTCCTGACAGGCGAAGTCAAAAATGTGGCACTGAAAAATGTGTCCAATGAGTGGTCCTTGCACTTATGACCATCGTCGCATCCCCATGGTCACATGTTCAGAATTGGGGTGCTTGGAGACTGGTACATATTTATGATGGTTGGAATGGCTCAGGGTCAGTCCCAGCTGGCTTCTGACAAACGAAGTCAATGGGGAAAGCCAGATTTGCTTAATGACCGCCTGGTTCACTTAACAACTGCAGTGATTCACTTAACAACCATGGCAAAGAAGGTCGTAAAATTGGGTGCCACTCACTTAACAACTCCCTTGCTTAGCAATGGAAATTCAGGTCCCATATAAGCCTATATGTATATGTATATGTATATTTCCCCATTTAGCCAGTCCAGCTGGGAAAGACAAAATGTTTGTACATCACTCCCACTAATGGACAATTTCACTGCATCTGTTAGATTTAACCGACCTTTCTTAGTTATCAGCCGTCCCTTTTTCCAAACGATCCCTAAATTGAGTTTTTACTGTAATGCAAATTGTCATGCCAGTCACACTGTATTCACCTTGAGAAGAAAAGTATTTGTCAATTAAAAAAAAGTTCAGCGACATTTTTCATTTGTTCCGTTATTGTTTCAAAAAGTGAAGTTTAATCAATTTTTTTAAAGGACATTTTGATATAGATTTAAAAATCCATTCTAATCCATTCTAAATTTAAATAAGTTTCTTCCTACCAAAACAATGTGTTTTTGGCATACTGCTACGTAAGAAACGAAGTGACCACGTTTGCTAGATGTTAAGGGCATTTCCAGGTTTTTTTTTCTTTCTCTGCCTGTTAATTGTTGAATTACAACAAAAATCAGTTAGAACAAATCAACGCTTAGCTTTCTTGATTAATTGGTGGGAGACCTTTTCATTCAACAGAATTGCAATTTTCAATTAAACCAATTAATGCTTGCAGTCCTGATTTTAACTAATGTTATCTACTTTCTTTATTGAGCTGGGGTTTTGTTTTAATGACTTACTGAATTGTTGCATTTGGAAAAAGACACATTGTGATTGGAATAGTTTTACCCCTACAACAATTCTGCAACAACAAGGAGCTGCTGATACAGTTCTACAGAGGAATTATTGAGTCTGTCATCTGCACCTCTATAACTGCCTGGTTTGGCTCTGCAACCCAACAGGACAGACACAGACTTCAGAGAATAATTAGGACAGCAGAAAAAACAATTACTACCAGCCTTCCATCAAGGACCTGTATACTGCACGAGTCAAAAAGAGGGCTGTGAAAATATTTACAGACCCCTCGCATCCCGGACATAAACTGTTTCAACTCCTTCCCTCAAAACAACGCTATAGAGCCCTGCACACCAGAACAACTAGACACAAGGACAGTTTTTTCCTGAACGCCATCACTCTGCTAAACAAATAATTCCCTCAACACTGTTCAACTATTACAAAGTCTGAATTACTATTACTATTAATCTTCTCATCACTCCTCATTACCCATCCCCTCCCACCTGTGACTGTATGATTGTAACTTTGTCGCTTGTATCCTTACGATTTATATTGACTATTTCCTAGTATGATTTGACTGCTTATTGTACCCTATGACTATCATTAAGTGTTGTACCTGATGATTCTTGACTCTTGACAAATGAATGTATCTTTTCTTTTATGTGCACTGAGAGCATTTGCACCAAGACAAATTCCTTGTGTGTCCAATCACATTTGGCCAATAAAGAATAATATTCCATTCTATTCTATTTGCACTGTTACCATCCTATAGACTAAGATATATAGAATAGAGTAGGCCAGTACAACATACAGTCTGCGGATCATACACAGCCTGCTAAGTAGCCTTGTGTGTGACCCAATGGCACTTTTTAAAAAGTCATCAAATTTGCTGCCTCCAGAAAGATCCCCTGCCAAGAATCTCCAGTCCTTAACATCCCTTCTGAGACGTTAGCTGCATTCTCATTACAGGAAGTCCTTGTCTTACAACCACAGTTGAACTCAAAATTTCTGTTGCTAAGTGAGACAGTTGTTGAGGGATTTTTGCACCATTTTATGACCTTTCTTGCCACAATTGTTGAGTGAATCACTGCAGTTGTTAAATTAGTAGCATGGTTGTTAAATGAACCTGGCTTCCCCATTGAGTTTGCTTGCCAGAAGGTCGCAAAAGGGGATCCCATAACCCCAGGACATTGCAATTGTCATACATGTGAGTCAATTTCCGAGCATATGAATTTTGATCATATGTCCATGGGGATGCTGCAGTGGAAAAGGTCACAAGTCACTTTTTTTCAGTGCTGTTGTAACTTCAAATGGTTATTAAACAAACTGTTTAATGTCTGTTTTCTAATCTGCAGCTCTTCCTCTGTCTCCCAAGGTCATTCCTACATACCATTACACCTGAGGAAATGAAATGAAATATGGAAATGAATATATAGAAATATAGAGAAACCTAACCATAAGACTTACTAAGGGATAGGAAATACTGAACGACCATGGAATACTAATTGGCTGTGATTACAGAACTCACTTAACCTAGTTACTTTTCTGGGGTTGTGCAACACAGTGTGATATAATTAATCAGGCTGGATTATGTAACTCACTAAGCCACCCACAGACCTAACTAGGATTTTTTTAAAAAACTAATCAAGCTTAGCATGTTCTGGAATTGCATTTGTAGATTTTTGCTTGAGCTATTAGGGATACCAACGTGAACACAACCAAAGAAAGTTAAAAGGAGATGCAAAGAAATGAGAGAGGAATGCAACGGAATGTCAGAATAATACCAGGTCTTCCATGCTGCAACCTTTTGTTAGACATTCCACCTGTTAATACTTAATTGTCATGTGCTTGGAAGTGAAGTTGAAGAACGCAAAGTAAAAATGTTCTTAACTGGCTCTGAAAGCCCACCAGAATTAACTTCATAAAATAGAGTGTTATTCATAAAACGGATGCAATTTTAGAGGATCAAACTTCAGTAAAATGGTGATAGATTATAGAAGGAATTCAAAGGTTGCTCGAATAAAAGAAATTCCATCTAACCTTGTTCTCTGTCAAATAAAGATGAAGGGTGTAAGCTTGGTCCTTCCTAATGCCCTTGGCACTCAGGAGAATTTATAGGGACGGAAGATTTTCAGGGGTTTTCCTGAGTATTTCTTTAATGATGCAAGTAGTTTGCTTTGGTTTGACAATATTTCTGTCTATAGGCAAAGAACAATAAAAGAAACTGCTTAGAAGTAACTCTTTCTTGCTTTGAGGGGCCTGACAGGAAGATTTTGAATTGATTTATCTTTGTGGCAACATCTGAATGCAGTTATTTTCTCTATTCCAAGGCAAAGGCCAGTGGGAAAAAACTCCGAAAAGTGACTCTGAAAGTATCACCCAGAGGGATCGTTCTCAGTGACAGCATAACAAATGAATCAATTGAAAACGTGTCAATATACAGGTACGCCTCATCCATACCTTTCAAATTTTCAGAGCAAATAATTAAGTCCTCTGCTTCCCAGGAGAGCGTTCGAAGGGTTAACGTTTGAAACTGTAATTAATAGTGATAGGATATTCTTTTTTCTTATTTTTTCTTATTTACATTTAATACTCTAAGGCAGTGGTGGCTAACCTATTTGGGCTCCTGTGCCAAAAATTGTGCACACACTTGCACATTCATGCTCGTGTGCCAACACCCAGAAGGCAATGCGCACCCCCATGTCTCCTACTGATGCGTGCACAATCCCCACACATCCCGGCCGCTTCCTTACCTGCACTGCACCTCACAGCTGATTTTCGGCCGGTTTGAGGCCTTTTTCGGCCTACCAGAGGCTTGAGGAAGGCTTCTGTATGCTTTGCAGGCCGAAAACTAGCCCCGTTTTGTCACTTCTGGTATTTTCGGAAAAACAGGAAGTGATGAAAGTGCAGTTCTCCTGCTGTTGCCTTTATAGCCTGAGAACTTAGGGGAGGGTCCCTTCTGAGCCTCTTGCTCCACCCACTATGCAGCTGCAGGTGATGCTGTCCCTTATCTGACATGTTCCCTAGGCAACATCTCTTCGACCTGCCTCCGAGGGCCTTTCCCACATCCCGTTAGGAAAAAAGGCATCTTCCAATCCCAATGAGTAGAGTAGAGTAGAGTAGAGTAGAGTAGAGTAGAGTCGAGTAGAGTCGATTAGAATAGAATAGAATAGAATAGAATAGAATAGAATAGAATAGAATAGAATAGAATA